GGCTGACAGGTCTAAAAGCATCAGGATGACAGAGTTACCTGAGTCGGCAGCTAAAATCAAGTCATTAAAGACTCTCAGCAGGGCAGTTTCGGGGCTGTGTCTAGGTTTGAAGCCAGACTGGAACTTTTCATGAATGTTGTGCTGGGCTAAAAAAGACTGCAATTGGTTATATATTGCTCTCTCTAGAACCTTGGATAAATAGGGGAGCTGAGATATGGGCCTAAAGTTTGAGAGGATGGAGGGATCCAGATTTTTCTTTTTGATTAAAGGTTTCACCACAGCATGCTTAAAGGCAACGGGGACACAACCTGAACTGAGACTGGTGTTGATCAGCAGTAAGACGGTATCTCCAACTGAGTCAAATACTTCCCTGAGAAGATGGGAGGTTATACTGTCTGAGGGGCATTTTGTAGGCTGCAGATGATTGACTACATCTGAGAGTTGGGAGAGGGACAGAGGCTCAAAGTGGTCAAGCATAGCAGGGCAGAGGGTAGAGGAGTCTGAGATGGGCCCGACACAAGTGAGGGTGGGTCTGAGGGCAGAAGCTTTTTTAGAAAGAAAGAAGTCATTACAGAGGGAAGGCGATGGTACAAGGGGGAGACATCACAAGGATTAATGAGAGCGTTAAGAAAATTAAACAAAACATGGGGCTTATGGCTGTTATTAGAGACTATGGCAGAGAAGTAGGCAGTTTTGGCAGTTTTGACAGCTCTCTGGTAGTCAGACAGGCAGCCATGGAGAATTTGTCGGGAAACAAGGAGCTTATCTTTCTTGCATTTTCTCTCAGCGTGTCTACATGCGCGTCTGAGGGCGTGTGTCGATTCATTTAACCATGGCTGACTAGATGGTTTAGTGTGCTTTAACCTGAGAGGAGCAGCAGTGTCCAGGATCTTAGTGCATGTGGAGTTGAAAAGAGACAATATGTCGTCAGCCCTAAAAGAACATTTTTCATCTAGTGTACATAGCGGGGAGTCAGTAAAAGCAGCAGAAAACTGTGTTGCAGTCATGGGGGTTATAGCGCGCCGGCTGCGCGCAGGGGCGGTAGGTTTATCTGCCGAGCCCGGCAGAGATAAGGTGAACAGCACAGGTAGGTGGTCGGATATACATGCTGTTGCGCAGATTTCATTGACAGAAACAGACAAACCATAGGACAGGACAAGGTCTAAAGTATGCACCTTTTCATGTGTGGGCTCAGTTATGCACTGGGTAAAATCAAAAGAATTAATCAGGTTTAAAAATTCCCTGGCCAGAGGACGGGATTCACAACATACGTGGATGTTAAAGTCACCAGAAATTAAAATGTGGTAGTATTTCACTACGATCCCAGACAGGAAGTCCGCAAAGTCATTTATAAAGACTTTGCTGTATTTTGGTGGACGATATACAGTGACACAAAGGACGGGAGGTGACATATTGGTGATAAATTCAAAAAGCTGCAATTCAAAGCTGCAATAGCTTGGCACAGGCTGGGACAGACGGCACTGAAGATTGGATTTGAATACAGAGGCTATGCCGCCGCCACTGCCCGAGGAGCGGGGTGAGCTAAAGAAAGCAGCCTGGAGGAAGGAGTTCCGAAAACGGGGTATTGTCACCAGCAGGGATCCAAGTTTCCGTCACGAACATAACATCCAGTTTGCGGGAGCTGAAGAAGTCATTCAACAGGAAAGTTTTATTAACTACTGACCTAGCATTAAGCAGGGCCATGCTGAGGTTTCGCTCCAGACTAGCTGATGTTGCAGCGCGTCTCAGCGGGCGGAGATTGCCATGCTGAACGCCACGGTCCCGACGCCGGCGCGAGGCCGACAGCAGAGCGGGGGCAGAGGGTCCAGCTACCGGTGAGAGCAGAGGCGACAGCTCCAGAAAGACGGGGCAGACCCATCGCCAGATCGAGAGCCGGGCAGGAGGAGCAGGTCCCAAGCGCAGGCCAATCGGGGGAGAGGAAGAGGCTGACAGGTAAGCCTTGAGTCTGACGAGCACACCGCCACGTTTTCCCCGTCTTCTGAGGCGCTTTTTCTGGGAAAGGAGGCAAGAGAGCCGCTGGTGGTACTGGAAGCGCTCCCTTCGGGATAAAACACAGGGCAGTCGGCGTAGGTGATCGGGGATATACCTGCCAGCACAGGGGAAATTGTTTGCTGGTCAGACACTGAGCGATCTGACGGCAATAGAGTCTCAAACGAGGCTCTGATTTTGAAGCTAGGTGATCATAAACCAGCAGAGCAGACGCATGTCGGCAGGCGTAAAACAGCAGAAACAGGACAGCAGCAAACAATATAGTGAGACAACAGGAGGAGCGAGGTGGACGGCTTGCCATCATGGGCGCCATCTTTCCCATTGTTGCCGACAATAACTGTTGCAGACATTGATCAGCAGCAAAGTGACTGTACCTGAACGTTAGTGGATAAACGACTGAATGAAACTGTGAGTGGTTGCTGAGCTGTAGCTCTGCCTCCTAACACCTGCAGCCCTGAGTCATTTGTCCTTTTTCTCTTTACTTCCTGTTTCAGACATCAGAGAAGGTGGAGACGGTGTTTCTGATGACAGAGCCATGTGACCAAGACCTGCCAATGGGGGACCAGCCTCAGGTAGCAGCGGGAAATCTTGTGGGCCCCCCGCCTAGCAACCCCCCGCCCCCTCCACCAGGGGCATGCATGATGCATGCTGATGATGTCACAGAGGAATGTGCTAGTGATGATGACAGTATTAATGCTAATGATGCTAACCAGGCTAATAGTCTAGCACATAAACACGAGGTCAGTGATGATGATGTCAGCGATGATGAGCCCAGTAGCCAGGCTAGTGATGGCGATGCTAGTGATACTAGTGAAGATGCTATCAGTGTGTTAGCGCAGGCAGCAGTGGAAGAGGCCATGGAGGCTGCAGTCAGACAGGCTCAGAGCCCAGATGCTAATGACGCTAATCAGTATAGCATTAATGCTAACTTAGCAGTTAGCCACGGTGAGAAGGAGCTAACTACCATCGAGCTAAACAACAGTCCTAGCTGCAGACCCCAGTCTGTCCTGGGCTCTCCACCCACCGGGATTCTGTCTCAGCATTACCATGACGACCAGGACTCTGACGAGGATGAGGAAGGGTGGAGGTTCGGAGAAAACTCCCCTCCTCCACCTTTACCTTGCCCCACCTCGGGACGCTCCCCCTGCTCAGCCAATCAGACACAGCCATCTGACCTCAGTGATGATGATGATGATGATGATGATGATGAGTCCAAACCTCTGCAGGAGGTAAAACCTGTCACACATAGACCTGAACCCACTTAAACCTGTTCTAGTAAACCTGTTCCACTTAAACCTGTCCCACTTTAACCTGTTCTACTTAAACCTGTTCCACTTTAACCTGTTCTACTTAAACCTGTCCCACTTTAACCTATCCCACTTAAACCTGTCCCACTTTAACCTGTCCCACTTAAACCTGTCCCACTTAAACCTGTCCCACTTAAACCTGTCCCACATAGACCTGTCCCACTTAAACCTGTTCTACTTAAAGCTGTCCCACTTAAACCTGTCCCACTTAAACCTGTTCTACTTAAATCTGTTCTACTTAAACCTGTCCCACTTTAACCTGTCCCAATTAAACCTGTCCTACTTAAACCTGTTCTACTTAAACCTGTCCCACTTAAACCTGTCCCACATAGACCTGTCCCACTTTAACGTCTGCTACTTAAACCTGTCCCACATAGACCTGTCCCACTTTAACCTGTTCTACTTAAACCTGTCTCACTTTAACCTGTCCCACTTAAACTTGTCCCACATAGACCTGTCCCACTTTAACGTGTTCTACTTAAACCTGTTCCACTTAAACCTGTCCCACATAAACCTGTCCCACTTTGACGTGTTGTACTTAAACCTGTTCCACTTTAACCTGTTCTACTTAAACCTGTTCCACTTAAACCTGTCCCACATAGACCTGTCCCACTTTAACGT